TATGAGGGACTATCTTAATAAATTAAGAAATCAGTAATATCCCACCTTCTTAAAGACACATGCATGCCAAATTGGGGATCATATGCCCTCGTTTCTGCTACAAACAACAATAATAACTAGTAAATACCCCTTTTCCTAAAAGATATACAACAAACAACAACTGGACATCATAAACTAAGAGACTTCAGCTTTAGAACTCGTGAAACCCTAAACCTAAACCAGAAACAACATTCGGGGGACACTTTTAAACTACTAACTAAAGTAGAGGGGTATATGAGTACCTTTTCCCTAAAATAATTGAATTTTAAGATAATGCAATTTTAATCATTAAAACTTAACATCTTTCTCATCTATCTATGTGATCTCTCCCAAGGTAAAATTCCGATAAATGAATATTTTTTTTAGTGAAAATGATATTTAAAAATTATACTTGTGTATGGACATGAATACAATTTGGAGTTATTTTTAAATTTTTGTGAGTAATTTTAAGTGAAAATTTTGAAAAACAGTATTTTGGAGTTTTTTAAATTTTTAAAAAATTTTGAAATTCAACTTCAAGTGAATTTGAAATTTCATGGACAAACATTGATTCCGAAAAAAGTAATTTTTTTTAAAAGTGAAGAATTTCTTATGGCCAAACGGGCCCTAAATTTTTCAAAGATAATTTCTTCGAAACAACATCTTACACCTTATTCCCTCTTCCCTGACTTAAATTCTACCTATATATATGGTAATTCTTTTATTTATTTTTATTATTGTTTTCTCTTTATACAGATTCTTCTTTTTATATGCTTTTCTTGAGCCGAGGGTCTATCAGAAACAATCTTCTACCTTCACAAGGTAGGGGTAAGGTTTTTATATACACTACCCTCCCTAAACACCATCTATATGATCATACTGGATTTTTTATTGTTATTGTTATGGTATATCTAGTAATTTTATTACATCTCCTATATTTGATTTCTTTACCTACTCAAAACATCCAACATTCGGAAAATAATCCACTCCTACAAGTGTTAATTCCATCAAATTGAACTTTGAAATAGTATTTAACCTTAGTGAAGATGAAAATTTCATTTGTAATAAATTTAGAGGACTAAAAGTGCTTACAATATATTTAAAGGATGTTTTTAAACCTACTCAAAACATAATGGACAATTGTTGTCATAAATGTTCAATGCCAAACGCTTGAGTTTATCCTTAACGTGACCGGCAACTGCTGTCGATTCGCTGCAAATGAATCTCTTCTACTCATATTCTTCGCTCTTAGGTCGGAGAATGGTGAAATGCGAATGGAACCTAAAACACTATATTTGTCCCTCATTATCGCCATTGAAGACAAATTCAAGAAATATAACAATATCAGCGATATCGTCGGAGCCCAATGGAGCTTCCATTTCAGTTACTGGAGCTGACGGTTCTTCGTCGAGCTCTGTTTGCCGCGACTCCTCCATTTCAGGTTTTATTTTTCTTTTTCTTTTTCTTTTCACTTTTGCAGAAATCAAGGAATTTATTTGTGACTTGTGGTTGATTTTCTCAGGGTCTATGGAGCAAGTAATGGTGGAATATGTATTTGGGAGAAAAAAAGCTACTGAAGTTGCTCACTAGTAGGTACTCCAATAACTTTTTGATTCAGCTATTTTAGAGCCTACTTTTGTGTTTCAACATTAATTGGGTACATTTCCCTCCTTTCAATGTGCAAAAGAGTTCCTTTTTCTAAGTGGAAGCAGCTGTTTTTACACTTGTTTGGATAGTTGTTATTTGTTGTATTGTATCGTATTATTATTTTAAATACAATGTTTGTTTTGATTTTTACTTAAATTTTATTGTAACATATCGTTGAATCCGCCGTTACGTAACGATGAAAAGTGTCACTTTGTGAAAAACCTATTAGGTATGGTCGCGTCGTTACCTTACCCTTCTTTTATATTAAATAATCCTATATTTTATCCTTTATCCTACCTCTTTATTTAATAATTCTACCTCATTCCTTACTTTTTTAAATAATATTGCAAGTTTATTCTTCGTATTGTTGGTGTATGGCATCATGAAACGACCGCAAATAATACAATCTAGACAAACATTGAATACATCAAAACGATACAGTACAATACAATCCAATGCTATACAATACATTATGATACAATACTATACAATACATTAGTTTCTTTATGTTGTTGTGCAGAAAGTTTTCTACTTGCAAATTTGGTTGGTCACAAGTATAATGGAATAATTTGTTTTATGCTGTGAGAAGCTGCTCAGCGGGATTAACCCTTTGTCATTTGTATAGATTCGAATGAAGTGCCGTCAATAATAAAGTTTGATAAATTGCTTGTAATTGGTTTTTTGATGAGTGTTCCTCTTATATTTTTCAGCTATCAACTTGAATTCTGAACTCTTAAGTTCTGTTTCGGAAGTTCCTTATTCTGTATATTAAACTTTTGACTACCTTAATGTCTCCGTAAGATACATACGGCCGATCTCAACTTTCTGGAGATTGATGCTTAGTTGTTGTTGTTGTTGTTGTTGTAATGTCTCAGCAATTGCTTTGTCTTTGCACTTTTAGAAGTTAAAGAAGTTAAGGTCTGCATTGCCTTGTTTTGAGTTTAATAGCTGTATGACTATAGTAGACCACAAATGGTGGCTTACCTCTTTCTATAATTCGTAATGTCAAGGGTATTATATTATTTATCAGCATATAACCCCTGGCAGTGTTTGGAAGCAAGTTGTGCAAAAAGGGGATGCAGTTGTTGATGCCACCTGTGGAAATGGGTATGATACTTTGGCACTATTGAGAATGGTTGCTGATAATGCAGGGAGAGGTCGAGTTTATGGCATGGATGTCCAGAAAATTGCTCTAGAAAGCACTTCATCACTACTGGACCAGTTTGCTAGTCCAGATGAGGTCGCGTTTATTGCTTCTGCTTATTTTGTATCTCCGGCCCTAATTAATGTTGACATTTTACCGAATGATCCAATAAGTAGATCATCCTGACTATGTAGAAGGAAGCTAGAGAGAATGGTGGTTTGGATACATATTACCATAAAGCTGAAACTCCATTTGGTTTAAAGCTATCTATACCTTATGATCTAAGCACATAATTAGCCAAAGAGTTGCTTGCTTTATATTGTATAATCTTACTTTAAGATATAATGCCAGCCTAAAAGAGTGAAGTAGTCTGTCTAAGGCTCTCAGCCCTCACTTCCACTTTTCCCACCTTCAAAAGGCCAGTTGTGGTGTCTTGCCTGGTAACTTACATCCATCTCCAGAATTACTAGAACCAGCCAAAATCACTAATGAAGTAATGTTAGTCTTCTATACTATGCTTAACCTAGGCAGGGACCACTCCCTCTGCCACCCAAACTCAAGGCTTCCCGTAGCCTTTTTTCAGTATAAATACAACTGATATAAGATGTAGTATAATTTTTCTCATAAGTGTGCTTATGAACAGCGAAGCTCATATAAGACTTCTATTGGAGAAGTTTGCAACCTCAATCTCATTAGTGCTTACACATGGGTGAATGGATTTAACCCTATTAACCAATGTCTTGTGGGGTAGATAAATATTACAATTTCATTCTAGTTCATGAAAATGTGATGAAATGGATTTAGCATCCAGGAGAAGCCAAATGGCAGCTCCTGTTTTCTTTTCTTGACATTTAACTGTTTCTACCTACAAATTGTTTCCACATGATCACGCCTCTGACTTTTCTGTAATCATGCTCCTCTCTTCCGATAATGATAGTTTTTCTTCCACGTCATAAGTTATACATACATTTGAAGCACATCTGTTGTCCTTGTCACGCAGAAAGAACTTGTTGAGCTATTTGTTATGTGTCATAGTCAAATGGAGGACATCGTGCCGAATGATGTGGCTGTAAGGTAATCGTGCTTCTCAACTAAAGGATGTTAATGGCTTACACTCTTAATGTATACACCGTCTAGTTTCTGTGAAGTGATCTTAGTGACATGGCTGCACCTATTCTGTCGTGATCCAAGCATCCCAATAATCACCTCCAGTTCTTTTTTGGCCCAATGCTTGTGTCAGGTTAGTTGCTTTCAACTTGGGTTACCTCCCTGGCGGCGACAAAAAGCTCATAACCAGATCTGAAACAACTGTGCTTGCATTAGAGGCTGCTAAGAGAATCTTAGCACCTGGCGGACTCATCAGCATTATAACTTATGTGGGCCATCCCGGTGGAAGGTTGACTCTTGAACCTTATGTTCATTTTTCAGCTGAAAGTTCCCATTTCTGTTGTTTGAGAGTCATCGTATATCCGCTTGCTGACTTATATATTCAAGCATCTTGACTATATAAGTAGTTGTATGGCTATCACTTGTTTATTACCTATTTGCAAAGGTTCTATACTATGTTAGATACATATTTATATTTGTTTGTCATGTAGGGAGGAGTTTGAGAAGATTGAGTATTTTGCTTCCGGATTACCCGTTGAGAGTTGGAAGTGTTGCAAACTACAACTGTTGAATCGCCCACTAGCTCCCATACTGATATTTTTGTTCAAAAGATAGGACAGGTATTATGTGTTACCGTAATGAGAGTTGGTATCATGTTTCTGAAGTTACATGCCTAGTAAGTTGTAAAGGTATATCAGAATGCTCTTTTCATGCATTATCGTAGTAGATAGTGCTGCCTTTGTCGTAGCGTCGTAGGAGTACTACCTATACATCAAACAGCAGCTGTATAAATACTTGTCCTCATTTTTGGCAGTAATGTCGATCTCAATTCTCATTTTAGGGAACGCAGTGAAGTCCCAAAGACCCAACCGTAGAGTTGGTGATATACTATTTTCAATTTTTTTTTTGGAAATAGATTTTTTATTTCCAATTCCCATCGTTGTATAAACTTTAGGGAATGCACGCAGAACTATTTTGGGCAGTTAAGGGAACATACACACTAGCCAATATATTACTGCTAGTTTTTGCATATATATACCTCATAGATTATCACAAGTTAAATATAGTACAAGAGGAAGAGAAATCAACTCTCAAGTCTAAGTGCTTAAATCTTAAAGTATTACACTTAGAAGACCATGAGTGGTGTGATGAGTCTAATTGAACTACTCAATCGTGTGACTCATGCACCATATGTACCACTATATGTTAAAATCCTCCCTGCACTATTTTCGAAGTTGCTACGACATCAAAGGTAAGGTGTGTTGTAGCAACTTCGGGTATAGTTCAGGAGGATTTTATTCATTATCCCCTTTAAATAACAACAAGATGACTGAACTGAGCTGCCAGTAACTAGTGTGGATTAACAAGCATCCCTTTATTTCTAGGTAAGAAGACAAGCGAGTCTTAGGTCTAGATGCAAAATATTACTACTACTATCCAGTCTTTGTATTACCTGGGCTAGCTAATTAGTATAGTAGGAGTAAATAGATACTATTGATGTGTAAATGGAGGTGAAAAAGGCCTTGCTGTAAAGACTAAACTTGCATGGTGTTATTTTGGTCTTGCGAGGTAAAACCGTCGCAACATTCATAATAATTAGCTCCAGTATATGTAGTAGTACTAGTTTGAGTTAGTCCAAGTTCAATTTCCAAGTATCTCAACCACTTTTGGCATTCATCATATTGATCTGACGAGCTTTCATTTGTATAATGAGGCGCCTGCAGCTGAGACTGATCAGAGTGATTGCTGCTGTACATGTCCAGTACTTTTGAGTAGTCTAAATCAGGACTCAAATCAGTATCCAACATGTCCCAAAAATCAATATCTGCCCCTGCTGAATCTGATGGTATTTCATTAATCACCTGATCTTGGTTGTCGCGAGCCTCTGCTGCGCGAACGTGATCAGTACTCAAGTTGCAGAGGTTTAATGATCCATAGGAAGAAGTTGGAGAACAAGAACCTGCTGCAGATGCTGTGGCTTCCTCAATTAAACTAGTAGCAACATCTATGTATTGGTCCTTATTGTTGGTTTCAAATTCTTCTTGTGTAGTAGTAGTATTGATCTTGATATCTTTGTTCAATGTCCCTACTCTTTTCTTTAAATGAGTATTCCACACATTTTTAATCTCGTTATCAGTTCTTCCAGGCAAATAAGACGCAATCTTTGACCACCTGCAGTTATTAATGCATGTGATTAGTGGTGGCAAAATGGATAAAAAAACAGTTATCCATCCATATTATCCACTAAAAAATGGGCTGGATAATGAAAACGGGAATATGGATAAGAACCATATTATCGACTTAGAAAATGGATAACCAATCGATAACTAGTGAGTTTAATTTTTACATTTGTAAAGATTCAAATTGGGGGTTCCTAAAGCTTAGGAGACTAAGAATTCTCCCAAAAGTGATCATATTCAAAAAGTTATGCACATATTGTCCGTCGATTAACCCATTTTCTATTTGTATCAAAATATGGGTCGGATAATTTATCCGTTTTTGCATTTTCCGTTTTCGACGTAGAAATGACACCAGGTAGTCACTCTAAAGGGATGTTATTTAAGAATTAGCCAGTGCGTCCTGAATTTCAGTTTTTTAATTCAATTTTTCGGGATTAAGAATATCCTGAATCGCTCTAAAGTTAAAATTTTTAGTTTAAAATTTCAAGACAAAAATAAATATTGGTAATCTCTAAATAGCATCCCAAAAATGACTATATGTGGTCTTGCCCCGTTTTGACCCGCCCATATTCTACCCGACCCGTCTGTTTGCCACCACTGTGATGAATAATTTCAGACCAAAGCAAAGACAAAATTTATTACTACTATATATATATTTGACAAGCTTGTAGAGGACTATATATTTGTATATACCTGTTCCCCAAAGAGTCATGTAGCTTTATTATGGTGTTCTCTTCTTCTGGAGTGAAATTTCCTCGCTTTACGTCAGGTCTCAAGTAGTTAATCCACCTCAAACGGCAACTCTTTCCACACCTCAGTAACCCTATATTAAAAATCATCAATATTGACATACTTAATAAAATGAGTTTAACTTCATAAAAAATATTTTTACACTATCCGATCATCAAAAATACTACGTACATGCACCCGTCCATTGTTAAAAAGTATAATAGTAATATAGTGTTACCTGCTACAACAAGTGAAAAACAGTAAATATTTACATTCTATTAGAGGATATGCTATGTAGGAGAATGACAACACAGAGAAACTCAGGAAGAATAAGATAAAGATCTAATTAGTTCTTAAACATAGTTATAGACTGAAGAATAGCTTGAAACAATGGTAAAGTTGTTTTCGTATGATTTATAGGTAACAGGTTTGAGCCATTGAATCAGCTACTAATGCTTGCATCAGAATAGACTGCCTACATCACGCGGCCTTTTCCCCGGACCCTGCGTGAACCCGGGATGCCTCCTGCGCCGGGCTGCCCTTTTAGTTGGAATATGCGTTGGGTCGTAGGAAGGGCCGGGCCACAAAGGTCTATTGTACATAGCCTTACTTGCATTTCTACAAGATCAAAGACTGTTTCCATGGCTCGAACCCGTGACCTCTAGGTCACATGGCAGCAACTTTACCAGTCACGCCAAGACTACGTGTCGGGACTACAAATCTTACCAGCTTGTTTGGGGAGGGATCGCCAGTTGCCATGGCCATTTTTTTGGATGAAAGAAATAAGCTTCAAATCTTCAGCAGGAGTCCATGGCCCTTTCTTCACCTTACTTTTATCACAACAAGGTGCTCTTCCTTTACCCATATTTAGTCTGTATAATATATAACTTGATATTCACATATATATGTTGGTTTTGTTTCTCACCTCTCCTCTCCTTTATATATATCTTTACATGTGTCTATATCTCCACATAGGGGGATAAAGGACTAGATATATATATAGTCATAAAGATGTCTTAATCTATGATAAAATTATGGAAAAAAGAGTGGGACCCTCTTAAGAAATTGGGAGAAATTCAAAAATAGCTAAATTTATAAGTGGTCATTCAAAAATAGCACAGTTTCAAAAGTAATCGAAATTTAGCCACTTTTTATGTAAAGATAAATCTGAACGAAGACACTGTTCAAAATCCGAAAAATACTCCAGCATAAGTATATTGAAACTCCAGTATATTATAATGGAGTTCCAGCATAAGTATACTGGAACTCCGGCATAATATACTGGAGTTCTAATATAATGTACCGATCCAGCATAATATGCTGGAAGTTCATACACAGGTGCTCCAATCTCCAGTGTATTATGCTGGAACTTTCCGTGTGTTGGAGTTCCAACATAATATGCTGGAAATTCATACATAGGTGCACCGATCTCCAGTATATTATGCTGGACTGGTCCTTGTTGCTGCAAAATAGTGGCTATTTTCCAATAACTTTGCAAACGCTGGCTATTTTAGAATGACCAGTCTGAAAACTGGCTAGCCCGTGCTATTTTTACTAAGAATTTTCAGTGTGATAAGTGGACCGGAATATTCACTACTTTTAATTTACTAGTATTTGCAAATTCAAAAATATCCATCCTTCTAAGTCAAACTACATAATTCCTTTTGTTTTCTAATAAATCGAATCGACTTAAACACTTGTTTTTCAACGTACATTACTGTAGTGGGATGGTTAGAATCTATCGATGCATCTTTAATCAAGAGTCTCGTGTTCGAACTCGGAAAGTAAAGAATGTCTTGGTACATAATGATTTAATCTCTTAGGAAACATATATATATATAT